GGCTAGCTCTCCAGGTCATTACGTTGATCTCAACGATATGTTGTCGTGAACGTATAAACTGGAGGAATCACTTGACCTGTACGTAATGTACTTCTCATAAGGATGCTGAAGATTCTTCGACAGCCCACGAGCGGTTTCGCTTTCTTGGAGTTCATCAAGTAGGCGCAGTCCTACACACAAAAGAAGGATTCAGCTGGGTTCCAGGTGAGTTTCCCGCAAAGCCTAATTTGTTTGCAAACGAGTGTATTTTGCCAATCAATTGACCTGTTTTGGTCGACTGGTAGGAGCTGCCGGCAAGTCGTAAGATTTTAGTTCCTGTGAGTTCTTTTAATCGCCTGAAAGGCTGGGAGTATCTATGGTACTTTAAGAAACCTGAATGTAGGATATGTATTTATTGATATTTATTTTGAGTAATCTATACGTGATCCACTCGAGTGTATACAGAGTCTAACAGAACATCCTGATGCCCCGAACGACCTACCGTAGGAAAAGCTAAAACTCAGATACCGAGTCGATTACCCAACCACAGTCATTCAGCTCTATACTAATATGGTAACACTTCACCAGTTTGTTCTCTACTTTATTTGACAGTCATTTAAAGTTTACCGAGAAGTCTTATGAAATTTGCCTGGACTTCCTAACATTGGGAATGTACTGAAATTTCTGGCCCTTTTCCTAGTTTATTACTGAATTGCAGTCAAGCCTTCTAAGACAAAATACGTATTGCCAGGTTTTACCTGCAACTCATCACTAATTTGACTGCCAAGGTTCCATACCTGGTGTGGTGTGAAAATTTGCCTTCTGAAAATAGTGACGTTGGGCGCAGGAGATAGTATGCAGTAAATGTAACGATTAGGTTTATAAAGGAAACTTGCTACCACGTAAACGTCAACTTCTATTCAAAGGCAGGCACGTTCATATGCGTGGAGGCCCTGAAGAAACAACGCACGCACTGTCTACACTCGAAAATCCGGTGTGCATCGGGACAAAATATATCACCACCGTTACCTTCGCGTTAGGACCAATTGTAACATGAAAGTCAACCGACTACGCTTCTTCCAGAGGCACATACAGATAGATAAGTGGAACAAACAAAAAGCTACCCTCACCCATCTAACCATGTGAGACAATATGTCGCCGTCAGGTGGGCTAGAAAAGCGTGTTTACAATTTTGAGTTTTCAAATAGCACTCTGGTCTGGTACGGTTATTCAGTGCAATTCACACCGGGAGTCGAAAGTATTTCAACGGAGTTCAGCAGCAACGGAATTGTCATAGTTTTACACTACTGCACAACACTCAGTAGCTTTACTAAATAAAATAACCGCACTCCGTACAACAAAAATCTGAAGAGACACCGAAGGCGGACAAAATCATCCCCCTTTAAATGGACCACTTAAAAGGTTAGTTAAATCCTTCGCTTGTGTGAAAAAAATCCTAGTCGACCTTTCCGAACACGAGTAGGAGTAAATCATGGACCAGTGTGTTTAGGGTTGCTTCTCTCTTATCCGTTCTTGTTGGAGGATCATCATGTGGAAATCAATGAATGGAGTCGTAAAATTCACAACGATTATCTTCCTAAAAACAGGCGTGACATGTGAACGTCTGGAAGGGTGAATTTGAGGGAGTTCTAAACAGTCGGAAAATTGTGATAGTTCGCTTCCGTTCAGACGCCTGGAATGGACAGGCGCACTAGGCAAGCAAAAAATAAAACAAAACGTGGAGTATCTGACTCGTTAATGATATGTATGACCTAAACTTTGCCCTCAACTCACTAAAATTGTATTCCAGCAGCGGCTACAGAAATCTCCGACACAGTCATCAACAAGGAGGTGGTGGACGTCCCAAATGACTATGTTTATGTGTTTATCGTGTGAAGCTAGTGATAGCCTAAACAGGAGAGCTAGGTAGACCATACCTCATTTAGTTTTAATTAAACGTGTTTATTTCCGTAGTGGTGTTTCATTTCGAACCCGAAGGTAGGAGGTTCACATTCCTTATTGGGAAATGCACAGAACAGGAAGATTAAGCATACTGCATACGAAAATATCTTTCTGTCGCGTTCGATATAAGAATCCAAATCGGAATAGGCGACTGGCTATCGACACAGCCGATAGCAAGTTTTGCCAAATTAGCAACAACCCGGTGTATCGTCAATTCCCAAACAAAGGTGGATGACTTAAGCCAAGCGACCACGAGTTTCGTGCTCCCTGAAAGCCACTGATACGGACGCAAAACCCAAGAAGTAAGATCGGTCAGAAAAAACGGACGGCTACCGGTTTAACGGTGTATACTACGTTCTGGTGTCCAAGCTCCGTCCCTGCATCCGATAGGTGAAATGTATTATGGAAATTTGGGAAACGATTTTCAGAGTTCGTTAAAGGCAACGGTCCCCTTCCATTGTAGATAACACACTACGAAGATAGGGTTACTCGAGCTACGCTCATTTCGAAATCCAAGTTGTTCTGTCGGTTGAGCAGGCTGCTTGCGCGCACTTTGTTTGCAGTGCGGAGAAGGCCGATTCCTCGACAGTCGTCCGTTTTCCGTCGGCTTCCCTTTCTTTTGAGCACTGGTGAGCCGTTGAATTCAGGTGGGACACTTTCGGTCTCCATTACTGTACACATCATGTAGAAGACTTTGCCTCCCAACATTGAACCGTACATATTGAACAATTCAATAGGTATTCCGTCTTCCTGAACAGTCTTTACGTTTTGCAGTTCAGTAGCCGTCTTCAAAGCACATCCTTCGTAATTTGGATATATGAGAGGTAATACATTCTCAGTCCACAGATTTCCGATACTCCAAAGAATTCCTTAGGATATCTGGAACTCTTGATTCTCGTTAACCCAAAACTCAATGCATTGTCCTTATATCCAGCACAAGCCCCAATATGACGAGTCGGACAATTGTTAGTCTTCAAAAAAGCTGTTGTCCTTTTCGACCCATGAAGGAATAAAACCACATTTTTTATTAAACGTGTTGACTTCTTTTGTTTTCAGACCGAATAGCTTGAATGAAGTCGTCCTGACACAGACCTTGATGGAAACATGTGGTGCCGTTGAACTGAACAAACTGTGAGGTATGACCTCTCAGAACCTCTGCGGCGTATACTGCTCCAGCAGCTGGTTGATATTGAATTTCGTCGCATGACAAGGATCTTTTACGCCACTCAAGCACGACCGACCGCATGCGATACGACAATCTAGTTCGAAGGCGTGATGCATTTTGTGTAGCACAATCGGTAGGGCCCACGCACATTGGCGGTTTGTAGACCAGCCTTTGGCTGGCCACGCTGATAATGTTCTAATGTCAGTTCCCTGATAAAAGCTACCTGGCTGGTTGAAATATCAGAGTTGCACTCAACATGTTTACTATGTAGTCACCAGCATTTTCGCTATAGACAACCAACCCACAGCTCCGTGCAACACCTGATCTAAACGTGCCAAACAGCGCACTCGCGAAAGCGCTTTTCGGGCGTGAAACTCGTTTTCCCATGAAAGTGGTACACCTATCTTCCCCGCATCTACCAAAAAGGAACACATATGGAGAGAGAAAGAGAGTTCAATCGCCAACAGGATGCCGTTCACACTACCTATAAGCCAAGTGTTTCGGTTTTGATTAAGGACTATCACAACGGCGGAGAGAAATGGACTCATGATTACATCAAGCGCCCTATAGGTAACGTCATCTACGAAGTCGACGTACAGTCTGCCCATCACGCAAACACACTTCGCCTTGGATATGTTGCACCGGCCACATCAGAGAACTGGAATCCTGTGGATAATGTTGAGTTACCATGTGCCCCTATGCAAACAGACAAATGCCAGCCGAATCCACATGCACACTAAGACAGTGGTCCGGCCGTAATCCAAAACCATTTGCACCAATGTAGGTAAATCCACATCTGAAAACCCACACATATTTTGAAAGGGCAGGTGTTGGGACGATCGGGTCCTAACGAACACTCAGAACTTTCGTAGTATTTTAGTAAAATCTCATCTTCTCTCTGGTCTAGCCAACTGAATCGTAGCACTCTTTCTTCCATTGGTTCACCCTCAATATCGCTGATCTTCGTTCGGTCTCCTTTGTCTTCTCTCTTGGGATTTCTCACTCAATTACTTAGACTATCAAATGCTATAGAATAAGTTCCATCAATCCCCTGAATCACCCAGCACCTACAGAGTTGCAACACGAACAATAATATGATCCAAAGAATATCCATGTTCAGTCTGGGAAGCATACAAGTCGCAACGGGCATTTCCAAGCACTGAACCATGTAGTGAAAATGTCAGATTTATCTAGTGGACACATGTTCGTGGCTCCAGTTCCGAAAGCAACGACCGATTCGAAACTTCAAAATGATCAAGAGGAGCAAGTGGTCCGGTGACCGAATGGATATGACGATAGCTAATAACTGATTATAGAAGCTCTCCTGCGCAGCCTCTGGATGAGACATCGTAGGAACTTACACACCGACAACAGTGGCGAAAAGTCTTCCTGGCAGCCAAAGAAGGGCACTATGAATCTCTCATTGAGACAGTACGGTTCAGCTAACACTTCCATTCGAATAACCAATGAAAATCCGAATTCATGTTTCTCCAGTAGAGTTCCAGGCCAGTAGAGGGGATATTCAGCTATCTGTAAACTTCCCTGATCACACAGTCGAGTTTCACTGAAAAGTTAGGTCGGTGCGACTGGATTCGGCAACCTGGATAAAAGGCCCGTCAGTCAGGCTGTCGAAAGTCATCAACAAAATATCTAAGATGCAGACATCAGGTCGAAACACGCATGACTTTAAGACAATGGGCAACGTGAGGCGTATTTTCCCACGACAGGTTTCGCTCTTCTCAGGTCTCATCAGACAGACGCAGTTCCTGAGTTTCCGTCAACCGTATGTTTTACTTGTGACTGATGTAACGCCCGTATATTCAGTATGTTGTTGACAATACAGAATGACGTATATGATTAGTGATCAAACGTACACGATTCCCGCTACCGAGTTGCTGCATGTCCGTATTCTCGCTACTCTCCTACTCGTCAGCGAATGAGAGAAATCTGAAGAAAGTGCACGATTCACAGCCAAAAACTGAACAACATAACCAAATTCCAGTCATAAAATCAGGGGAGTTTGTGTATTAACAAGAGCTATGTACAAGACTCATAAGAAAACAATAAATACCGCGGGATTTAAGATGGCAAATAGAATGCACTTGGATTAAAACGAGTGAAAGATGGAAGTGGTCATCGACTGACGAGTGCCGTATTGTTCTGTTTGGCCACATTGACTATATTTTGTCTGTAACAAGCTAAGCTACAGAGTGGTACTCCAGTGGTTGAGCAGGTGTACCGCCGTGGACGTCCGCACCCTAAGCCGCAAAGGCGAGTTGGAGGTACTGGAGGGGGCTCCTTGGATGTTGACATGCTTAACGCCGCATCGATATTTGGCGGGAAGCAGACGCGATTTGAGGGAGATAAGCGAATGGAGGAAATGCACCGGATATGATCGCGGCTGGGGTCCATCAGAGAATCACTAAGGCCATGTTGTTTTGCCAAAGATATTCGAGCAATGAGGTCCAGATCCAACGCTTCAGTCGCTGTGTCTTGACCAGAATCTTCATCATCTTCGTCAACACGAGCAGTGATTGCCGCTGTGGAGGATTCCGATTCGTCATAGATACCCGACATGTTGGATGATACAGATAACAAGGAAGTGGCAGAAGCCGAATGTGAAAAGCCTCGAGTACCTCCTCGGGCCCCACGTCCCCGGGAACGTTTCATAAAACCTTCAGAATCAGCGTTAACCTGTGGTCGAGAGGGACATAAATCATGTGGTAAGATGTGTGAACAAATGTCAGTATCACAGGCGAAAGTCGGATGACTGCGTCGCTGATAGGCCCAATAGCTGCCTACTACGGTACGTTATGTTCCATTATCGTTCAGCTGTAGCACCCTTCCGGTGCCTAACTGCCATGCCACCCGAAGGTTGCACGAGGGCTGGGATACTGCCACGTTGCCCAAGCCTAGACAGGGGAAGTCGAGAGGCAGAGGGCGAGTTCGAACCACGGACCTTCCTATCAGTAATTTCGCTCTCTAACCACTTCGGCTGTCTCGCCCATGTTCCATTACGCAGTCCTAAGTTCGAATAACTGTGCTTTATAGGTAATTTATCATTAGTTTACCTATAAATCTTGGCGAGGTCTTAATGAGGGGGTTCGTACAGCTAGTTCTGGACTATCTAAGAACTCGTTGAGTTGTCACACTCAGTAGTATTTTTTGCATCACAACCGTTGAGCATTAACCACTGAACAGAACAAAATATGTATTCAGGTAAGGAGCTGTATGACATGTCTAAGGTTATTCGCATAAAAACGCTTCTAGGAGGACAAGGACGTGCATTCACCGAGAGACGAGAAACCGAGGATGCATCAGGCTAAAGGAAATAGAGTGTAATCAACCACTCAAATAAACGAACGGATGAACTCTCGGTACATTACGAACATATCTTGCACCACAGAAAAGCTACCAAATATGCCACACTAAATCGACTGAACGCTGCTTCTCTAAGCAATATTCCGCAACAAGTCATAGCAATCAGCCGGATATCGCACAGATCGAATTACTTCATTTAATATTCTGATGATAGGATCTTTCGTTGGTCCAACAGTTTCACACCGGATTACCATGAAATAAAGTTGCAATCAGCACCATGTGGAAAGACAACGTAAAACCGAGTCCTTTCAAAAGTGCTGATTCGATCACGCAGCAAATCACACATTTATAGACAACGGTGTTGCATCTCATTGTCAATACAGTACTACATCTATATAAGAAACCGTTTCGAAGCATCCAGACTTCAAGGTATTACTTAAATAGGCTCAAAGCGAATCCAGAATCTAACATGGATATGAAACGGTTGTTTTATAGCCCTCACAATCATAGACACGGGTTACACAAAAATGCAGAACCAGTGATCAACACTATAGCCTAAAATAAGGGAGAGCAGAGTATTTCGCCTGTAGATCAATGACGGTTTATTTCACATGCCTTTTCAACAGGCGATCGTGAGACAGTATACATAGTGTCCTCTGTGTAAGGGTTGATAGTTAATGACTCGACCTAGTGTCAGTTACCATTCGTCTTACAATGCTGTCGAAAACACATGATCTTCCAAAGCTGATAAAAAATCTGTGCCACACATGTTTTCGGATGGTGCCTGGTTTCGGAACCCGTTTTTGCTCTTTTAATCAATCCACCGGGCGTGACTAGGAAATGCGAACACATCACCTAAAAGTGGACGGCTAGGTCTCATTGGAATCTGAGTGGCGAACAACGTGCTTACCTGTCTAAAGGGTGATGTGTCTTATTCACGGTAATCCATTACGAGGAGGGCTGCTGACATTACAACCTTTTCACACTCCAGAGAGTCTTACAAAGTAGCTGCCGACCAGTCAACCGCTGTGTGACCTCCACCATAACAGATTACATACTTATTTACTTGACTCACCTTTAAAAGCCTCTCAACGGTCTGTCGCTTTTGCAGCTCTGCTCTGTGCTTTGCGGACTCCCGGCGACGTGCAATATTTCGCTGGCGTGCATCCAACTGTTCCGGAGTAGGCGATGTAATTCGCCTTGGAGCTTCCAAACTTTCCAATGTCAGAAGGTCGGATTCCGGACCAGAATGCTGTTTGATTCCCGAGTGAGTGACTGTGTCAACCGTTGCAGCCCGATGCCTTTGCAGACTCAACTGCCTTGCCGTTAGCAGTCTGGGTTTTTGGAAGCTCGAAATTTCCGGATCATCATCCTCAACTTCCTCGGAATTTTGATCCAACTTCGTGCGAGAGTAACCACTGGTTCGTCTTGACCGAAGTCCAGGTAAAGAGACACCACCAACCTCATCAACATCGCTTTCATCCCTCCCCTCTTCCATTGCAAGGTACGAGCGCACACGGACACCACGGGTTCTGCGAGCTTCATTCCGTTTAACTGGAACGGCGTCCGCATCCGCTGCTTGTTTCGAGAAGGCTCGTTGACGAGGTAACTGGGGCGAACGTTCGTAGCAGAAGCAAAACAGAAGGCCGCATTAGGACTGTCTGTATCGGTTATTAAACTCATTAGTATGCACAGCGGGATAATCGATGGTATAGTAAAACGTCAAGTCTCTAATTGTCAGTGCATCATGCACCACTATGGTAAGTCTTTCAGGGAAACCCGCCGGAAAGGATACGCTCTCCTTGAAGGTCCATAGCGGCGATCTACGTCACCCCAGACATGTGTGTCCTGTTCCCCGAAGGTTGCTTTGGGAAAACAAACATTTAGAATCATAAACTGCGGGGCTGTTCCATGGACCAAGCTATCGTCTATAGATGAATGTTATTCTTCCATACACAAACCCGGGTAAGATGAACGATGGGATAGACATAACATGAATTACCAAAAGTTAAGTCAAGTTAAGTGACGAACGAAATAAAAACGGTGGGGAAAAACGGTTGAGCTGATCTGACTCATCCATCTGAACCTCCTTTTATCAGAACGGAGATGATTCTATGTACATTTACGCACCGACCTTACTGTAGTTCTTAACATTCGACTGTCTCATTTCATTGTCCTTTTCAGTACATTACTCCTCGTTGCGCGGTAGTGGGTCGTGTGTTGCTTCCGCTGGTGAATATGGTGTTTTCCAAGGAGCTCTTCACACCGCTTATGGTTAAATGGTGCATTCTTATTCGGAGACCTTACGCGGGGAAGGCGTTTTACTCAAAACCGGAACATCTGGTGACCATAACCTAAGTTACCTTTACCCTGTTGGTCAGCTACGGGAGCTAACAAGATCAAAGACCAATTGGGAGATGTTAAGCTACCATTCCCTGCATTAATCAGGTCAAACTAGAACAAAACAAATGTGAAGCAGTGACTTAGAAATGCAATTTACCAAAAGGCCTCAGAGTGAACGTCAAAAACAGAGAAGACGGATTAACTATATCGAAGACGGCTGTAATCGAGGAAAAGCTCCGAACCTAGTCGTTCAAAAGATCATAAAAACGATGGAACCAGAAAAGATTTGATTTGTCCGTGTGACTTTCAATTGAGATTATTTCCATCTTGGACAGTCACTAGGCATTCTAGTCGCCAGTTCACTTTACCATTGCTTGCACCAACACAAGCCATACCTTTATGAAATCGCCTTACACATCATTTATGCTGATAAAATCATAGATAATGATGAAGCAGGCAACGATAAAACATAACGGTCTTCTAAAACAGACTACTTAAAGCGAAGAGCCATGAAGCTGATTTTTTGGGCAGAGATGCACACAGTCAACCAAGGGTCACAAGGAGGTCCGCTGAGGAGGTAGATCCATCTGAGGAGTACCGCAAGCGGTCACAGGTTCAATATGTACGCCTGTGACAGAATCGGTATCTTGGAGTTACTGCTGCCCCACTCCCCACTCCTCACTGCTCCCCACTCCCCCACCCCCACTCCCATGCAGCATACGAAACACACGAAAGCGATTAATCTAACAAATCGGAAGTAATGTGCAGAACGCAAAACAGCTCACCAGAAAATGAACACGGGCTGCTCACTAACTGAAAGTAGGTGAACTCCTAAACTTGATTGCTATGGCACGAATATGTATGGTGGTTAGAACTGTAGTATACTCCAACTAAACTGGAAGTCTCGCACTCCGGTGCCTTGCGCTTCCTAACTACGCCGAATTTCGCTCGATATCCGGTACCAGACACCCCGAAGGAAGCATAATCACATGAATCGGACAATGAAGTTGGAGCACCAAACAGCTTCGGAAATAAGCGACTGCAATTTCTCACTCCAGCTACATCACAAACATCCACCCACTCTACAGACGTAACACACTACTGCCAAGGCTACTGAAAACGCTTCGATTGTCCACGACCGGCTTCGCTCTTCCTATTCAAACTCATTAGGTGAGCGCAGTCTGAGCTTCCGTCAACCCTATGTTCTACTTGAAGCCAAATTATGCAAAATCAGACATACTACGGGAGACTCATCTCAATTCCTCGTTTATGATTAAGCAGAGCAGCATAAACAAGAAATTTAGCTGGGATTCAGTTGTCTCCCGTGAAAATAGAAATAATGTATAAAGAATGTGTACGCTGAATCCGCCAGCGGTAAAACCTTCGGTCCGACTTATTTACCTAACCAAATCATCATCATCAACAAGAAATTTGGGATTCAGTTGTCTCCCGTGAAAATAGAAATAATGTATAAAGAATGTGTACGCTGAATCCGCCAGCGGTAAAACCTTCCTTCGGACTTATTTACCTAACCAAATCATCATCATCATCGACAGCATGACATCAGTGTTCAACACCGATGCTTCACTGCCGTACAATCATGACTTATTTGAAAGCCTTATTGTAAAGAAAAGAATAAAGGTGGATGGGGGAGGGACTTAGTGCTAGCTTAACACAATCATTTC